AGTGTTTTCTTTGACTGATTGATCTATTCCCTCTATGTATCCTTCACTCCAGATAGTCTCTCTTCCATCTTTTGTATTCTGTTGGTTATGCTTGCATCTGTAGTTCCTGTTCATTTACTCAGATTTTCCATTTACAGCATTCCCTCGGTTTGTGTCTTCATTTGCTTCTATTTCAATTTTCAGGTCTTGAACTGTTTTCTTCACCTGTTTGATTGTTTTTCTTGGTTTTCTTGGCTTTCATTAAGGGATTTATTGATTCCTTCCAATTTTTGTTTTTCTTTTCCTTAATTTCTTTAAGGGAATTTTTCATTACCTCTTTAAAGGACTCTATCATCTTCATAAAGTTATTTTCAGGTTGTTTTCTTCTGCTTCTTCTATGTTGGGTATTCAGGTCTTGCTGTTGTAGAACTGCTAGGTTCTGTGGTGCCATATTGCTCTTTATGTTGTTGTATGTAGTTTTGCACTGGTGTCTACCCATCTCTTCCTCCAATTGGTGTAGGAAGTATGTGTCTGAGGGAGCTGCTCTCGGTCCAATATGTGCTGGCTGTGTCTGTGTCTCAGAAGGCCACTCTTGGACCACTTGGCACTCTTGGTCCAATCAGAGTTCTTGGTACAATCAAAGCTGGCAAATTTCATGTCTCAGGGAGCTGCTGAGGTCATGGGGGATGGGTGGGTTTTGGAGAGGGAGTGGGTCTTATAGATTGCAGGGTCCAATGAGTGGTGTTGATGGGGAGGCCTTCCCACAGAGGACTTCCCTGCTGGCCTACAATTGGGGCAGCAATGGGTGGTGGTGCGGGGTACGGGATTTTCCTTGGGGACAAGATACTAGGGCCCCTTTCACATCTTAAAATGTTCAAATTTGATAAGAACTTAGAAGTAGCTTTTGCTTAGGACCAGGGAGGATAAACAACTCATTAAAAATCACAAGTGAATTCATGATGCTTCATTCATGCAACAAATGGAAATTGAGGGACTACTATATACTGGATAGCATACTAGGCTCTGGGAATAAAGAATAAGTACAATGCAGGCCCTTTTTTTTTTGACCATATCCATGACCACACTATGTGGCAAACATGGGAAACAAGACAAAGCAAAGCAAAATCAGACTGAAGGTCTGATGCTTCACTTTTTGATTCTATTCTATGATAATTTCAATGCTTAATTTTTTCATGCATGCACCATGATTTCATACATTTTGGGGAGAAAATGTAATGTTTGGATATACTTATTAATTGTGCCCTGATCAAATTAGAATAACTGGTCTATCTATTACTTTAAACATTTATAACTTACTTGTTGTGAGAGCATTCAAATTATTCTCAGTTTTTGAAATGTACAACACAGCATTATCAGCCACAGTTACCCTACTGTGACTCAAGATACAGAAATCTAATTTTTCTTGAAAATATTCTCAGAGAGACTTGTCTGCTGAATAATCTTCTAAGCATAGTAATCTCAATGAACACCACTCTTCTGACACTACTAAATGTTTACAGTTCCTTTCATACTTACTGGAGAAGAAAATTTTTTAAAACACATCTGGATACAGGCTAAGCAAGACTCATTTGCTGACTTTAAAAGATCATACATATACATGTACATATAAGTATGTAACAATAACTAATGGAAAAAGAGGTTATTAATTTGAAAAAGATCAAGGAGGGGTTTATGAAGTATTGTGGGGAGGGAAGGAGGGAGGGAAATGATGTAATTATAACCTCAAAAAATAAAAGAAATAATTAAAAATATTAAAAGAGGAATATTTGCCGATAAAATGGCTCAGTTAAGAATACTTCCTGCTCTTTTTTTTTTTTTTTTTTTTTTTTTTTTTGGTTTTTTTTCGAGACAGGGTTTCTCTGTGTAGCTTTGCGCCTTTTCCTGGAACTCATTTGGTAGCCCAGGCTGGCCTCGAACTCACAGAGATCCGCCTGGCTCTGCCTCCCGAGTGCTGGGATTAAAGACGTGCGCCACCACCGCCCGGCAACTTCCTGCTCTTGTAGATGACCCAGATTAGATTCCCAGCATCCACACAGTGGTTCACAACCATCTGAATCTCCTATTACAGAGGCTCCAACACCCCCTTCTGACCTCTGCAGGCACTAGGTATACCTATCACACAGATAAATACTTGGAGGCAGAACACTCATGCACATAAAATAAAATAAAATCTAAAAAATTTTTAAAAGATTAACAAAAGTAATTAGAGTACCACAACTCATGAGAACTCAGTAATAATATATACACTTTCTAATATATACACTTTCACACTCTGCTAGAAATGTCAGCTTCTATTTTGTGACTCAAGTTATATTCTCCAGAAAACACAGGTTGGGAGATATGAACATGGTATTGACAAGGCAGTAAGTATCTCTTCTAAAGCCAGTTAACAATGGATACAATGAGAGCTTATTCTCTATGAGAAACTGAAAGGAAAGACTAGAACATGCCTGAGTGGTCAAAACTCTAGGTGGTCTAGAATTCCATGAACAATCATTGTTTGGATGCTGATTTCAGCAGCACCCACTCCTTGGGTTTTGTGCACAAGGGTAAATCATATATTTGTGACCAGAAGCAAAAACTTCATTATATTAACCATCCTCCTGAGTATATGGGCCATTGTCAAGGGCACAGAGTGTGTATGTCAGAGTTCATATGCCCTGCTTTCTTCAGCGCCACTTGGTAGATGCAGGGAGTGGCAATAGCTAGGGACTGGAAATCCTGGTCCTACAGAGTCCACTGTCTGTACCAGTTGAGAGCTGATGGTGAGGGTGGAAGACATATCCATGGCCCCAGTCACAAATTCTGCTCTACCCTGCTTATTCTTTTAGCTCTGGCTGATAACTTCTATTTGCTCTCTCCTAGAATGTACATTTTCAATTAGATCCTTTCCTCTTCATTAAGATTCTGCAAATCTTATGTCATCTCACAACAAAGAACTATGCCTCCCATTTCACAGTTCACAGCATTCATAGCTGATACAGTCTCAACCCTTTGATAAAAGCACCAACACTTTAGCCATGGATATCTTATCACCCTTGAACAGTTTGGAAAGGAGACCTTCCCTGTATCTTCTAAAGCTCCCATTCTTCCCAAACTGCTGATACATCTGACATTCCCAAACAACTAGCCACCCTAATCCCCAAAAACAATGCAGGGAAGTTCCCTGTGCCTGGTGTTCTGGAAGTCTCTTTGCTTTGGTGAAAACTCAATGACTCATCCTTTCACCCCTCTCCCCTTCCCTGGGGATGTGGAAATATCTAGTTGTTGGTATTATAGCTTACAAGTTAGCATTTTCTGAGGGGGTTTGCAAACACTATTGTCTCATATCATCCAGGTGAATCACACTGACCAGGGAGTGAATTAATGGTGAGAGGAGACACAGAAGCATGTACAGAAAATTGTGAAGTAATTCTCTTGTTGTTCTTCTCTCTTTTTATTTTATCCAAGGTCATACTTCACACACCTTCAAGAATACTAACTAATTCATATTTTATGATAATTAGTCATGCCCTTTCATATACCATTAGATCATAAGCACCATGTACCTGCTATTTTTGTCTTGTTTTATTCATTGCTTTGCTCCCAACATATAAAGTACCTGGCACACCACAAGCACTGAACAGATGTTTGCAGAGTGAATAAAGGTCTCTGTGCATTTCAAATAGGCCTTTGATCGCACTGTGATGGACACTTCTTAAAAGGGTTGCTGTAGCCGGGTGGGAGTGGTGCACTCCTTTAATCCTAGGATTCAGGAGGCCGAGCCAGGTGGATCTCTGTGAGTTTGAGGCCAGCCTGGTCTACAAAGTGAGCTCCAGGACAGGCACCAAAACTACCCAGAGAAACCCTGTCTCAAAAAACAAACAAAAAAAAAACATGTTCCTGCATTTAATCTTCTGAGTGTTGGAAAAGGAGGAAAATTCACTTTTTTCTATGGGCACAAAAATTCTAGTTAGACCATCCTGAGTGGAAAATAAAAGTTTTACTGAACACACAGAAACAAGCTCTTACTGTATAAACAACTGTATCTGTAGTTAGACCTAAGTTGGTTTTGAACCTTTTGCTATTGTAAGAGCTTGATCAAGCTGCCCTCTCTTTTCCAAATGAGTATTAGCATGCTAAGCACACTGCATTGCAAAAGCACTCTATGCATAGTAGCTGCTCAACAAATGTCAGTTCCCTTCCTAGCACTCATGGTCTCCCTACCCTGCTCCAGATCCAGAGACTACCATGTTCTTCCAGCACTGGTTGTCAACACCGTTCAGCATTAGCCAATCAGAGAGACTCAGTGGAGACACACCCACTGCAGGTCCTCCTCTCCTGGTCCCCAGTTAGGGAAAGGCTGGGCCTCCATAATACAGGAGCTGGCAATGAACAGCCTAGCTTCTGGCTTTCACTCTTGTCTGCACCCACCCCTATCAGGCGACTATCCTGAAGGTAATCAGCACTCTGTCAGAGCTGGCTGGCTCTGGTGGCAGAGAGGACTGCTCTCTCAGCTGCTTTGGCAGATCTTCCCTGAGCACTGGGGTCTGAATGGGGAGTAGGGGAGAGTAAGAGAAAGAAAAACTCCAAAAAACCATGATATTGTCACTTCCAGACACGAGGAAGCCTGGACAGATACGGGGCCCAGGCCCAGAGACAGCCCTGGGTTAACACCATGTAGGACAGGTTCCACTGTGTCCGACAAGGACACACACCTGGAGGGTAAAGGGATGATGGAAGGAGCAGGAAGGGCTTTTTCCTGTGTAGCATATGAGGCCCAGAATGATTTGGATTTCAACGCACAGTAGCCATGGGCTAAGCCTAGCTTCCATGTCTGTCTGCTTTGCAGGAGCATCCTAGTGCTCTTCAGAGATCTTGGGTTCTTAGAGGGAGGCCTTGGAATTCCAGTCAGGAATCCCTGGGGACCTCATGTTGGATAAGATTCAGGCAGCTCGAGTGTTATCTTAGCTGTTGGGGGACTCATGCCTCTGCTAGCCCTGCCTGCCTGTGTCTTCCAGGCAACAACAGCGTTCTGACCTGTATGGAAGATGGACTGTGGTCCTTCCCGGAGGCCCTGTGTGAGCTCATGTGCCTCGCCCCACCCCCAGTTCCCAACGCAGACCTGCAGACAGCAAGGTGTCGAGAGAACAAGCACAAGGTGGGCTCCTTCTGCAAGTACAAGTGCAAACCTGGATACCACGTGCCTGGCTCGTCTAGGAAGTCCAAGAAGTAAGTGGTGCTGGGAACACACTCTCGGGCTCTGGGGAGGGGCAGAATCAGATCTGGATACCTCTTTGGAAGGAAATAGTTTTGGCTTTGCTGGAAGCCATACCAACAGTGTCCCATTCTGTCCATGCAAAAGACACAACAGAGTAGGTATTGGTCACACACAGCTACTTCCAAGTCACAGCTCCACTGCAATCTGGCTATATGGTCTCAGTCTTGTGGTTTATTTTCCTTTGGCCTCCTATTTTTTCAGTGGCAACAAGAAGTTGGTAAGTTACCACACAGTATTGTCGTAACGTAGAAGGACTTGCAAAAATGCCTTGTACAAAGTGCTTATTCAAGGAATATTGCGTGTTCACATCATCATTTTACAGGCACCCAAGAGAACACTCTAGAAGGAAAAGAGAAGACAAGGGGCTGGTGGGGATTGAGCTTTGTCCCAAACGACACCTGGCTGACTACCTGCCTATCTTTGACAATGTTGTTCAATGAATGCAATTTCCTTCATTCTTTATTATTATTATTGTTGTTGCTGCTGCTGACATGATAATATAATTATAGCATCCCCCCCTTTCCTTTCATCCCTCCAAACCTTCCCATGTACACCCCCTTGCTCTTTTCAAATTCACGATCTCTTCCTTGGCATACACACATGTGTGTATACATATATATGCACACATATATATTCATAAATATATAAATATGGCCTGCTCAGTCAATATAATATTACACACACATATATACCTCTGTCTATCATCTATCCATCTGTCTTTCTTTCTATCTGTCTATCTGTCTCTCTCTCTATCTATCTATCTATCTATCTATCTGTCTGTCTGTCTGTCTGTCTATCTGTCTTTCTATCTATCTATCCACCTGGGGAAGACTATTTCTCCTGCTTTCAACATTCCTTAGTTGCCTGTAGTTCTTTATCTAGGAGTGAGGCCTCATAAGCTTCCTCTTTACATGTTGCCACATCTATTAGTGTCATCCTTGTTTGGGTCATGTTTAAGCAGCCATATTGATGAGACTTCAAGGTGCTTCTTTGACATTTCTAGGGGGCAAAAATATGTTCTTGTTCTTCTGACCCTTACAGCCTTTACTCCCCCGGTTCTGCAATGACCCCTGAGCTTAGGTGAAGGGGTTGTATTGTAGATATATCAGTTGGTGCTGGACTCTACAACTCTGCGTTGCGACCTGCTGTAGTTTTCTGAAATCGTCTCCATCATACATGCCTTGCACATTCCACATACAGGCAGGGAATTATGAATAGGAAGACAATGTGAGGCCCCCTAGTAGTGTCCATGTTCGAACCATGTGATTCTTGGAATAACTATTCTTTCATCTTTCCTGAAGACGGGCCTTCAAGACTCAGTGTACCCAAGACGGCAGCTGGCAGGAGGGAACTTGTGTGCCTGTGACTTGTGACCCACCTCCAGCCAAATTCCATGGGCTCTACCAATGCACCAATGGCTTCCAGTTCAACAGTGAGTGTAGGATCAAGTGTGAAGACAGTGAAGGCTCCCAGGTAAGCCCACTGAGGCCTCCTCCCCTCTGCTTAACAACTGCTGTCTCCAGGGCTCTTGTCTACATAACCAGGCCTGTAAAATGACAGTGTCACCACTGCAGAAGCTGAGAAGCAGGACTTCCAGTATGTTCTTTGTAAGCTCTCTGAGCTCTGTTTTCTCTCTATGAGCCTATTACAACCAGAGAGTCTTAGCTGTGAGAATATTTTTTTTTGTATTTTTTATTATTAAGAGATTTTTCTGTTCATTTTACATATCAACCACAGATGCCCCTCTTCTCCCTCTTCCCATCACCCCCCCCTAGCCTTCCCTCATAATCCACCCTTCATTCTCACCTCCTCCAAGGCAAGGACTCCCATGGGGAGTCAGCAGAGCCTGGTACATTCAGTTGAGGCAGGTCCAAGCCCCTCCCCCTGAACCAAGTTAGCTGTGAGAATTTTTTAAGCGTTAGAACGGTTAGATATTTGTTGAGCAATTATTAAAGAAAACTATATATGGCCTCTTAGCAGGTGAGATGGATCAGTTATGTGACTATGATGGGAGTGGCTGGGGCTTTGATCAGCTCTGCTCACTTCCTACTGCCAGCCCGACTCACATTGTCCTTGAAGCATTTAAAGACAAGAGGCTGCCATTATCATTAGTCATCCCTTGACCCCTGAAGCCTGCAGAGGGGGCTTTATTAAGGTTGGACGAACACTTCTGAGCACAGTATGGAACAAAGGAGGACAGAAGGAACCAGCATGGATTTGAGTTAAGCCATATGGAACTAAAGGATAAGTGTTCCTGCCTGCCTCTACTGAAGGGACTCTGTGAAGGAGCGGCCTTCATCCTCCATACCCAAGCTCTGCTCCTCAGTCAGATAGGCAGGAGGTCACAAAAGTAAAACCAAAGTCCACAGAAAAGCCATTTTCCCATAACCCACCACTTACAGTTGACAGGCTAACCCTGCTGTTCACTAGTGTGCCAAGATCACCAGTCAGGTGAACCTGGAAAGTAAACAGTGTCCTACAGATTGAAGTCCTTCCTGTTCATTATTTCTTAGCCTCCAAATACCAAATACTGTTAAACTAACACCATTAGCACCCCCTTTTTCCTTTTCCAACATTTAAGCAATTCCCGGACCTACTTATTCTTCCCAAAATACCCCCTGAAGCTGTTCCTTCTGTACGCAAGGCAACTACCCTGATAAAAACTACTGTGTCTTTTTTCTGGACCACAGTGCTCTTGATCATGTCTTTTCTTATCACCTCAATTCTCTGGCTTCAAGCCCTTATAAGTTAGCATCTTTTTGTTTCCTTGGGATAAAATCCAACCCTATTAGGCAGCATTTCAGGCTCCAACCCCACCCCCAGGAAGACTCGGGTCCCCTACCTTCTCTGTGTTTCTGGCTTAAGTATTTCCATCATTTGGTTCAGATGCCTGACTACTTCTCCTTGTCCTCCCCACTTCGACCAAGAAGCCCCTTCTCCACCATTCCTTTGTGTAAGTTCCTTCTGCTCCTGGGCTCACTTGCACCTCTCTCAGATTTCCTGCTTCTAGAAGCAGCCACCTGTTCTAATTTTGAATTATTTCATGGTGGTCCCACACAGACTGTGAAGTTTACTGCCTCTTTCAATGTCCCTATGCCTTCAGCACTTAGGACAGTGCCAGGCACCTAGTAGGTCTCTCGGAAGTGACAGATTAGGAACCAGGGACCCCTTCTGTGGATAAGTTGAGTTTAGTAGGTATTGCCTCCAAACCCTGAACATCATACATTCACGAGTGTCTATGAATACCCTGGGGTGCTGGTGGTCACTCTTGGGAATTATGCCCATCCTCCAATACCTAAGAAGCAGGAGTCCTGGAACAAGCAAGGACCAAGATTACCATGGCCTCTCACAGGCTGATCTGCTTCCCTTTCACTCCCTCACATAAAACTGTTGCTAACAGTTATCCCTGAGCCAAATAATATTCTGGCCATGGCCATGTTATCAAACTGAAACCCAGTCTGCCCGAAGCCTGCCAAGTAGCTTTCATGGGCAGTTTGTATTTAAAGGAGAGGAAAATGTAAATTCATCAGAGGCCCAGAGTGTTGCTGTTTGGCAGTGGGTGGAGAGGCTAGACTCGAAGGAGCAGGGTATGGCTTGTCAGCTCAAAGAATGAGGGGGCGTGTGCCAAATGGGCCCTTAACACAATTGACGTTTCTAGTTTGTACTAAGAATGAATTTCCTCTACCCTCAGACCAAGGGCCCGAGAGCCAGCGCTAACGTTCACCTCAGATTCCCTCTTGCTGCCTGTAAACACAGCAGGAACGCAGGGCCCACACTTCTTGAATCCCACGGCTTATATGGAACAAAGATTCTTAGCTTTCCAAACAAGTTCCAGATCCTGGCAGAGAAGGGTAGAGGCTACTACAGGGAGAGTCACATACTCCCTCCACGGCTACTACTGGCAGAATTTTAAAAATTCTACTTCATTGAGTCCTCCGAGGGAGCCAGTAGGATGCTTGCTAGATCTGGGTTCAAATGCTGACTTCACCACCCCACCCCTCAACAGAGGGACAAGTTACTTAACCCTGCAAACATCAGGTTCCCTGAGTGTAACCTGTGAAGAAATAGTACAGCCTGCCTCACACTTTTTTGGTGGTAGCAGGGAATAGACAAGGGTGCATACACCCTGAGTTGTGCCATGCATGGGTCTATGCCACAGTAAGCGGCAGCAACAAGGAAGCCACAAATAGACTAATCTGCTTTTATGGTGATCACAGTAGAGATCTCTGATGCTAGATGAGAACTTCCATAGAACTTAGAAACAAAGGCAACAGATTGAAAAAGTCTTCTCCTGGCTAGCTCCCCAGAGTCACAAAAGTGGCACTTATCCAGTGTAAAGATCCATATGAGCTGCATGGAAACCTAGAATGTTACCCAAATAAAACCTGTAGAATGAACAATCCTCTAGTCCTTCTAGAACTTTCTGTTATGATGAAAATGTACCATTTCTGTGCTGTGTCTCCAGCCATGTGTCCCTGAAGTCTCTGGTTGCAGTGTCTAAGCAGTTAAATACTAAATTCAATTTTACTTAAAATTTTTTTTAAAATGTGAGATGTGCATGTTGGTACACATCATTATTACATACATGTGGGAGGTAGAGGCAGGAGGATTAGATGTTCAAAGTCAGGCCTGACTACATAGTGAGTTTGAGGCAAGCCTTGGCTACAAGAAACAAGTGACCTTTTCTCAAACGAATTATTTTACCTATTTATTTTTTGATATGGTTTCACCATGGAGTCCAGATAGACCTTCCTTGAACTGACAGCCCTTCTGCCTTGGCTTCCTCAGTGTTGGGATATTAGGTATGCTCCATCAGGACCAGCTCCATAATTCATAATAAATGTAAATAGCCACACTTACACTTCCATATTGGACATTTCAGCTCTGACATTTATAGTGTTCCTGTTGCACTAAAACCAAGGAGGAAGGCCTAAATAGTCATAACTTTGCTTTTTAATGTGAGGATTTTATGGGCACCAGGCTGGTGTCACAGACTTTCTTTCATCCTGGTAGCTAAAAGCAAACACCCGAAGAAGAAACTGTCTCCCCACTTTCCAGGTGCAGAATGAAGGCCTGTGGAGTCTAACTAAATCTTTGCCTATAACTCTGAGCTCATAGGTGGTACTGAGACTCTTCAGCCATGTTCATCCACTGTCCCCATACACTGCCAGGGTAGGCTGGTGGCAAAGGCTGACGTATGCTCTCCAGACAGCTGGCAAGAAGTGCTCATCCTATCTAGATTTAATGAGACTTGGAAGGCACTGGATATGTGAAGAGATAACTTAGTCCCAGGGCATAGTGACAAGCTCTGTAGGAGTGCTGCAAGTGATAAAAGGGGCAGCCAGTCTTCAGAGAAGACCAGGGTCTATGGAAGACACTTGAAACCAGGACAGGAAAAGGCTAACTACTCTTCACGGCAAGAGTAGTGCATCTAATAATGGGTTTCCAGAACCCAACAGGAGCAAAAGAGCGAGGAAAATAGTAGCACCAACAACACTCCCAGTCCCTTGCAGGGGAGACAGAGGTTGACTATGCAGTCCTTTCTGCCATGAAAGCATGGAGCTGGTCTAGTCAATATGGACTCTGCCATGGCTGCAGAATAACTCTATGGGTGCAGAAACAGCAGGTATGGCTAGTGTCTTGTTTCAGGGTTAACTGTGCATCACATACCTAGGGCTGCCTTGAGAAAGTGAGGGAAGTCATGAAAGCCCATGCCAGTTAGAGCGTGGCAGATGTTCAGAGACCTTCATTGCAGCCCACTTAGCTTACAGATGTGTCCGCTGACACATGGAAAGGAGAGTCACACAAGTGACCAGCAGAGCCAGATCTTAAGCCTAGTAACAGCACAGGCCATTTTTTCAACACATCCTCATACCTGGAACTGCTTATCACGCCTGATCGGTTGTTTCACACCGATTGAGTCACATAAATGCACCGGGTGCTTCTGTTCTACTTTATAGATGCAGACATGGAAGGTTTCTCTTGGGGTGTGTGTGCACTGTGGTATATAATTAGAGCATGGTAGATTCAGATTTCCATAGCTGATGCTCATCCTGTCTGTCCCCTGTCCAACCTGGCCATGCCTGGCTTTGATACTATCAGACAGAACCCTCTGTCATGACTTGGCTTATTTTTTCTACCCATTTTCTCTCTCCCTGCTTTGTTTGTGTGCCCTCCTTCCACCAAGGCACAAAGGCTCACCATCAAAGGCTGGAACCTGGCGTCCACTGCCACCCTTATTCATTGCCTCCTCATTCTGACTGCTGCCATGTCTGGAAAGCCAAGTACTGTGGGTTGACTTGATCCTCAAGTTCCCTAATGAGTGAGCGCAACAGGGAAGTTAGGAGCTGTGGCTAATGCGTAGCACTGTCCATACGTGTTAGTTCTGAAGAACTTCCATAAATTGACCACTTTGTTGTCCTGATGACTCTTGTAGGCAGTAGACTCCATGCACACTTAACAGTTGAAGAAGCTGAGGCACAGGCACATGAAGAAACTCTCTCAGGTCCCAGAGCTGGGATGTTGCCGTGCTAACATTTGAACCTGTGTAGTTGTAATGATAACTACATCATTCATCACTTGTTTCTTTCCTGTAGTGAACTTCAGTTTTCAGATTTGACATAGGACATGGTTTCTCTTCCATTCAGTCATTAAAATGATTCCTCAGAACAATGAGCACACGAGGGAGGTTTCAAGAATATAGTTAGCTGCAAAGACCTTCAACTCTGTGTGGTTTTCTTGACTAAAGAGATAAGGGGTCTAAAGAGAGTGCAGTATGGCTTCTATAGACAGAAACATACAGACCAAACTCAACAGTCCTCTTGTTGGATATTTTAATTTAGCAGTTAAAATCATGTCTTGTGCTGGGACTTGGCTTGAGCATTTGGAATCAAACACATTCAGCTGGTTTGGTTCCCTGATAACACCCACAGAAGTAGTGTTCTCGGACTGGATACCCAATGACATTGGCTCTTCTGTTCTCAAATTAGGCAGAGCAGTCAGTAAGGATATCCCCATTATCAGATAGTCAACAAGTGCTGAGCACAAGAAGAAGCTTAGGGGAGAATGGAGCATCTAGGGGTTCCAGAGAGGTTGCCATTCCAAGAAAACAGAACCAAAGTGTGAGGCAGGGAAAGCCAGGGAAGGGAGGGCAGGGAATGACATGTTTACTTGAGTAGAATGAAGGGCACACCTATAGACGAGAGGTGGGGCTAGAAATGTCTGGGTTCCATATGGAAGCTCTGGAGTGCTAGCCCACATGCTTGCCTTCTTCTGAAGGCTAACGTATCTTAGCAGGTGGGTGCCTTATTTTTGAAGGCAGATTTAGCCACAGAAAGTGCCAGATGAACCAAAGAAGAGAAGGAGAAGGAGAGAGGGGGAGTTTTGAGAAAGTAAGACCAGTACCTTATGTTCCCACCTTCCACAGTGAGGCCTCTGGGACTTGAAACTCCCTGAGTAGATTCTAGTTAGCTCTAATACATCCTCTGCTGCAAACCTTGCTCCTCAGCCAATTCTGGCCCTTGTAGTGCTGAGGTCTGCAGGCCTTGAGAGGCTGGAGGCCAAATGCATCATAGTCCCAGGCCAAGGATCCAGGAAATTGGGGTCAATTTCCTACTCCCCTGAGGGCCCAGCAGAATCATGGGGCTTAGAGCTTGGGGCTCCAAAAGGGAGAGTCCAAGTCCTCTAAAGTCCAAAGAAGCTGCACAAGCTTGCCACAAGCCACTTAAAGAGGCCCTTTAAGTTTCCCTGTAGCTGCAAGCTCAGATGGGCCACATTCTTCCAAGGGCAGGGAGGTTCTCTTGCAATAGTGTTCACCTTCCGCTGGCCCAGGACAGACCTCAAGAAGGGCTCCTTCCTCTTCTCGGTTCTGATTCCATGCAGCTGCTTTATTATTATTATTATTAAAGACGAAGCAGCTTCAGCCCATCTCAGCCCTTTTACATTTTATCTCACAGACACTCATTGTTTATTCCCTCCTAGATGTACTCACTTATGCCTTTTATTTTTCCTGGCTATTCCTTCATTTACTTCCCATTGAGTTAAAAAAAAAAGCCTTCTACATATTCATCCCATCCCTCCTTAATCAACAAGTCTTGAATGAACAAACATAACTACAGAGAGGTAAATGGATAGACTGAGTGGCCTCCGTTACTGAGAGGCTCTGAGGATGCAGGAGTGAGTCAGGCAGTGTGCAGGCTCCTACAGAGCCTCTTGATCCATTGGGGAAGGATAGTCAGCCACTTGTTTCAGAGTAGAACCCAGGCTCCTGAAGCCAGCATCCAAGTGTCATACCTTCGGCGTTCTACCTTCCTTTCCTCCTCCCTCAGGTCACAGGACGGAGCCAGACCAGCCTCAGCCATGCTTACACACAGCCTTACATTTGCCCATGAACTTCTCTCCTCCAGGAGCGCACTTCCATTCCTTTTCTGGCTTCTCGGAGCCCCATCCAACCTCTGCTCAGATTCAGTCTTGGATGTTGAGTGGGGCTTAGAGAAAGTCTTGTATTTTCAAACTGCACTTGCTTACATAAGACTGAGGAACAGCCTGTTGCTTACCCTAAAGAACCCAAAACAGAGATACATATAACCCACTCTGAACTCTGTTGGGGCCATCATGGCTGGAAGTACCTTGGAAGAGAGAGCTTCTCACCCGGGCTGCTTTCTCATTGTCTAAAAGGAAGGAAAGAGTGGTTGGTTCATAGCTACCTTTTTTATGACTGCCCCCTTACATTTTACTGTCTGTATAAGTAGAATACATGATGGGTTCCTGATTTCTCAACAGAAACAACAATAATCATAAAATAATTCTCAGCTATAATTACTCCAATTAGAATTTCCCAAGAACCATAATCTAGGAATTAGGAACCTGGGAGTTAGACAGTCTGGGACGACCAGAGCAAGTTTCTCTTTGCTCTGAGTCCTCAGTTTCTCCATTTGAAAATACTAAAAATACCCCTGTTTCAAGATGACTGAGATTCAGCTATTAGAACAAGTTGTTTTGGAACACTTTCTAAAGCTGTGGGGAAATGACAAATTGTTTCATCTTTCATTCTGAGAGGTATGTCCTTTGGGCAAATGGAGTCTGTCACATCCTAAGTATGTTTCTGTGGTGTTCAGGGCCGTGGGAGCAACATCATTCACTGCCGGAAAGATGGTACCTGGAGTGGCTCCTTCCATGTCTGCCGAGAGATGCAAGGCCAGTGCTTGGCTCCCAACCAGCTCAACGGTAACCTCAAATTGCAGTGTCCTGATGGCTACGCCATAGGTAAGATGGCTGTGCCACAGTAAACAGGGGCATGCGCATGTCCATCCAGGAGCATAGACCAGTGCCTGGTGCATTTTTGAGCATATATATGTGAAACCAGTCTCGGTCTGTGAGGGAGAGAGAGAAGAATGAAACACACTATTTCCTCCCACCAAGAAATGCAGGAATAAGGATCCTGATAGTACTCTATGGTTACATTATATGGTGGCCTAATGTGTACAGTTGTAGTACAGAAATGTTCTCAGTTATGAAGGGGGACACAGAAGTGCTCAGGGGGAGTGATGCTTACCCACAGCTTTGTTAGACCTTATCAGGTGCTCTAGGGAGAAGGATCTGAAAACAAGTGACCAATGAGCAGGAAGTATGACTCTATACAGGATGCACAGTGGTTGTTTTCATTATGAGTTGTAAAATGTACCCCATGCATCACCCAAGAGCACCTGGTACTGTTCAAACTCTGGTCCCCCAAAGGGCATCAGTAATGATCCTCTTAACGAACATTATCAGATGAGAGAATAAAACCTCAAATGGACAATGGAACTCACTCCAAGTCCTGAGGTTTGACCTATTCCAAAGTGACAGCTCTCTCCTCAGCATCCTGGCATTTTCAACATAGTGTGTGTGTGTGTACGTGTGCGCGTGCGTGCACATGTGTACATGTGAGATTAGCCAGCATAAGAAATGCTTACAGTGAATAACAACCCTGGGTTTGGTTAGTAGAGCACAGGCTCTGGGACAGATGCATTTATTATCAGGTGCGTGGCTTTCTCTGGGGAAACTTAGAGCACATAGAACCTGACCTAATTTAAGGGCAATGATGCTGACCTCTTGAGATGATTCCCTAATTGACTGCAGTGAAACCTCCAGGGAATTGAATGTCCTTACTCAGGGCCAGTGTGATTTATGACAATATTGCCAAGGCTGTTTGACACAGAAGGTCGTCTAAGCATGTACAAAGCCAGCAAGTTCTTTGCTAGATGTGCTGAGACTTGTCACTGTACATTCAGAAGCAAGGCCTGTGGTTGGACAGGGAAGGTTCCTAGGGGCTGTCCACTTCTTTTTGAAGGTGACAACACAGAAAATCAGATAGTAGAGTGTGTGGTCATATGAACTTGGAGCCAGCACCAGCACATTGTTATTGTGCTGGCTCCTGCCGAAGTCCAAAGGTAGCAAGACACACGGTTGCTGTCTCTCGTCAGGATCTTACAGAACTACTGAAGGACCCTGACCGGAGAGTTACGGAAAAATTGGGGGCTTTGTGGGGACTACGACATAATCATTCTAGACAGTTGGGACAAAAAGTGTCTCTGTGATTTGCAGCACTGGCTACTGTATCCCAGGGCCAAGCCTTCCTCTTCTCCATTATTCCTGATGGGTGTGCATGTCTCTGCACATCTCTGTCTGAGAACAGTCTATAGACAAAGGAAAGGGTGGATGGTGGTGATAGTTCTCCACCCAACGGGAGCTTTTACATAGCGGGAAAAAAAAGAAGAAAAGGGAATTTATATGATACCAGTTCTGTGCTGTCTTCCTGTCCCTTTAAACCCATGTTCCCATGGTAGTGTGGTTGCTCATCCTCTGACGACAGTAATCCAGGACTGTCAATCAGTGGTTGGGGGGTGGGGGCCTCTTAGGGGAAAAAGAGAGAGAGAAAGGGGGAACTTGAGGATACTAGTGGAGACAGAGAAAGAAAGGGGGGAAAGTGGTCCCTCTTCTCTTCCTTACATTCCCGTGGCTGTCATCTAGTCCGGGGAAGAACCCTACACAGGAATCCTCTTTCCCTATGGAGAGGGGTTTGGTTAGAAACCTTGCGTTAGGGCAAGGTAGGTACCAAATTTATGGCTGAAGACTCAGTAGGAGTCACTCTGCCCCTCTTTGGTGCTGCCCCAAGCAACCTTGGGAGCATGTGTGACTATCACGAGCTTCAGGGGAAGTCACTCCCTTCCTGAGAGAAAGAAGCGAAGGCCTGGTGAAATCACCACCCTGGGATGATATCCACTGTGGCTTATATGCCACACCACTGCAGCCTGGTCCTAAGATCCAGAGCTTGACGTGTGGGAGAGGTGCCAGCAAGAAAGGGCAGGAGAAACAGGGAAGGAGGGAGGGAGAGACAATGTCAGAGAACAACCAGTGTTTCCTCTTCCCATCATGCTTTTTCCTCCTCTCTTGGGACAGACTGCCTTTGTCTATTACCCAGAGGAGACATCTTTTCTTTCTCCAAGGCAGTTTTATCATTCCAACTTTCATCTTTGCTCCCTCCAAACTCCTTTAGAGTTGGTCTCATGGTAACATAGGGTGTGCCATAGAATCTTCTGACAGCTTAGTGACATCTGTCCCCTTATTCTCATTAGTCATCTATTTTAAAAATCTTCTTGTGTTTTCATTTGTCTGTCATGTGGTCCTTCACTGGCTTCTTTACCTCGCCATTGCCACCTTTCTGTCTTTTCTCTTTGTGGCTGTAGCTCACCCATCCCTGGGCCTGAAAGTGAGGAGAAGATCTGCGTTTTAAGCCTGGGCTTTCAGCATGACAGCTTAGAAAAATGACCTCTGTGTCGCTTGGCTCCCCCACCTATGAAATGGGTGTCATGACACCCATCTTGCTATAGTGCTAGATTCTCAGGAAATTGGAATGACATAAGGAAGCCACCTGGCAAGAACAAGGACATCTCTTCTTCTGGACTCAGTATCCCAAGGTTATGGTGAAACTGTTCTAAGCGTTGCTTTAAATGTGCAACTCCAGTTGCCCCTTGCTTAAATCCCTGAGTCTTTTAGACCGAAGAGGCTATGACTATGGTAACAAGAAGGGCACTGGATAAGCTGGTGTGTGTGTGTGTGTGTGTGTGTGTGTGTGTGTGTGTGTGTGTGTATCTGGAAAGGGATGCTTAGAATGGCTAATTGGAAAGGATACTTACTAGAAAGATTTGGCTCACTCTTTCCACACTGAATGGTATTTAGAAGTCTGAACATGATGCAGAAGAATGACCTCTCTGAACCTGGTCAGATTCTAAGAGGCTTTGGAGTCACAGAGACATACCATGGAACATGCTTAATTTTCAGGAGACTGCACGATGTCAGTGGGTAAAACAGAGAATGGAGGGGACAAATTAGAGTCAACTTGTAAATCCCTAGCCAGAAAGTCTTTAGAAATCTCTGTCCCAAGGCCTCCTGTGTACTGTAACTGGCCTTGCTGATCATCCGCCCTCCATTGACTTATGACTTGATTCGATTATTATCTCATTAACTATCTAGCTCATCATTTCCCCACTCACTCACTCACCCCCTATGCCTCACTTCCTCTTTCATAAGACACCTATTCCTCATTATGTCTTTCTGTAACTCCTTCATTCATCATTCATCCACTCATTCACTCACTCACCTCCTCACCAGTTAATGCAATAATTTCCTCATTGTTTCTTTTACTCAGTTCACGCATTTTATTTCTTGAATGCCTCCTGTGTGCTATGTAAGGTTACAGGCTCTGAACATAGATAGAAGAGGGAACAAGGGTAGAGATGGCAACTTAACATGGTAAAACAATCACTAGGCAAATGATAGGTGGCAATATGACAAATACCACCGAGTGCCTGTGAATGGCTTGGTCTTCCTTGAGTAAGTGGCACTTGTGCTAAGGTCTGGGTGCCATTACTAGTTTGTTAGTAGAAGAAAAGTGGAAAGAATCCAGAGAGGACAGGGATAAACATTCAGCAGAAGAAGCATGAGAAGTAAGATCATGCAGCTGCATACATTGCGTTCTCACTAGGCCAGTTTCCTGGAGCTCGCTCACAGAGTCACACACTGGGCTACGCGCAGAAATGAGTCAACAGTGCCTTGTCTTTCTTAGGGCAACACTAACAGTGGAGGCGAAGCATGGCAAGGAGCAACACCAGGGTGAGACTCATCAGTGTCCAGCATGGTTACTCAATGCAGTAGGCATTCAAAAAGTGTGCCTACCCAACACCAGAACTCAGGGGTAGACATCATGGGGCATTGGAGCTGGTCCTTGAAAAGCTGATAGGATTTGGTCATAAAAAGACAATTTAGAGCAATTCAGGGAGATGAGGCAGATAGTGCTAAGTACAGCTCAGTTCTATTAGGCCAAGCAGGGCATCAAGATGTTAAATGAGGAGGACATTGACAATGGGGCTGGAGGAGGTACTGAATGTTGGAAAAATGGAGTTAACTTGTGAGGAGGATTGGACAGGCTTTCTGGTGGAGATAACACATAGCAAAGTTAACCTCTGGGGTGGTTACTGTGGTGGTAGTTGCTAATTGGTTCAAATACAGGTGAATGGGGCCAAAGAGACCTGAGGTGACTTTTTCAAGGGAGTCCTCCCTCCTTCCCACTGCCTGTGTGGACAGCCAAGTCCACTGGGAAACAGAAAAAAGCAGTGTTTACCCTGGGCACGGTGGCCATAGGTATTTGGAGATGTGGCTGAGTGATTAGTTTACCTTGTTCTTCCCCTCAGGGTCAGAGTGTGCCACCTCGTGCCTGGACCACAACAGCGAGTCCATCATCTTGCCAGTGAACGTGACGGTGCGTGACATTCCCCACTGGATGAACCCCACCCGAGTAGAGGTGAGTGACTAGGGCCACCTCCCTAGGCTAAGGAGAAAGGGAATGCCACTGCTGAGCTCTTACTATGTCTTGACTCCACTCAAGTTCATCCGTCTATGTGTAGGATCTCATTTAATCACATCTATTTTCTGGGAAACTGTTTTTCACAACAATTTTTCAGTCGATAATTTTTTAGTACACCTCCTCAGCTTCTTCCCTAAAACCCTTGTATTTATTTTCTCCATGAGTGCTAGTGAGGACACTGAGTCAGCAAGTGCACATAAGTAGAGGACATAGAGCTGAATTCCAGTCTAGAGTTTGCCTGTGTGGCCTGTATCAGGACAGGCTGTTTGGTACATCTAGCACCTTCCAGGTAATTGTACTTTATGTTGCCTCAATCTCTTCCATCCTTCTCCATGCTTTACTTATTTGGTAAAATTCAACCAAACTGGGACATTCAGGACAGGGAACACTAGTCGTGTCTAGTGTTTATGGAGTACATGCTGTATTCAGGTACTTGGAGCTCTGCATACAGGATGACTTAAACCTTAGCCAGTGGTTGTGCTCATGGATACTGCTAGCTCAGATGTCCCAGAAAGAGAGATCAGACCGGATGCTTATTCTGGACACTGAGCTTTCCATGGCGTCAGGGGTCTGGCTTCCGGCCAGATGGTGGTAGATGCTCCTGAGTGGTACCACTGCCAGGCTGGCCTAGAGGATAACCATTGGCTCCTAGTTTCTCATGTGTTACCTGACAGGTTGAGGGCTCCAAAGATGATTTGGGACCCCACTCTTATCTTCCAAGAGAGCCTAGTTCTAAGGCTTCCATGGATCCATCCGAGCACTGACTCCTCACCTTCAGAAGGAAACAGGGAAACAGGAGCAGAGGGTGGGCAGGCAAGTCTTCAGCTGTATCTCTAGCCCCTAGCCTTCCTGCCTGGGATTCTGGGAGCTGCTGTCTGCCTGCCTACTGCAGATGGAGATCTGGATAGCTTGGTAGAACCTGATACAAGGTGTACGGTTTCCTAAATGAGCTGAGGGAATAGTTTCTTCAAGGGCTTACTCAGCACTCTAGGCATGGCGACTTGGCCCGACCCCTCAGCTACCTGGTACCAGTGTCCACTTCCCCTCCTTCCCCTGCCTCTTTCTCTCTGTCTCTTCCCTGCCTTTACTTTTGTCTTTACAATGTGTTTTCCCTTAATCCTGCTTCTGCTTTTGAACACTGTTCCTATTTGTCTCCTTTGCCATCTCTTTCATCAACCTCAGCCTCTCCTCCTACACTTCCCCCACACCCAGTTTCTGTCTTTCTCTGTATATACACAGTATTCCCTTATTTCCTAACCTCGAGCTCCTCCACTACATCCCCCATCCTTAGCCAAATCAATAAAGGGATTCTCCCTAATACCTCAGTGTGCATGACTTAACTGAACACATGCAACAGTAGCTGCAGAGCCTGTTTGCATGTAAGACTCCCCAGGCAGCTGGAGGTCACTCAGCCCAAACCCCTGAGTCTAAGCTAGAGAAATAGAGGATTATAGTCTGAGGAGCAGGTCAAGGTCTCATGGCAAGGAAGCTTGACCTACCATTCAGGATCCAGACTGGTAGCATCTCCCAACTCTTATCTTCCACATGCTCCTAAAGAGAGGAGCATCACCCCATACAAGAGACTTCCCTGCCACTCCAGTACTGAAGGTCTTCTTGGCTTGGCTCAGCTCCTACTTAAGTTCTCTTCTACCCCCTAAGTGAATTCCTATCTTTTCCTCTATGAAATCTTGACCCTAAAGAGTTCAGTCGTAATTCTTCGTGAACTAAATCCAGGGAGGTGAAAGCCCACAAACCGCCCCCCTTCCTTGAGTTGCCCACCGGCTTGCCTGTCACAGTCTCCACCCCCTTCCCTGGCTTGCCTGCCTTTATTGATGCTGGACTACCAAGAGAGCCATAACGAGGTTCAGACGTCCATCAGTCTCTGGAGGCCTCATTATACAAGAAGAAAAAAAATGTAGGAAAAGGGAGGGGGCGAAGGGCATAGATTGATGACTTCCAGGAATAAGGCAGCTAAGCTGGCCTCTGCTGCTGCCTTGCCCCTGAGCAGTGACAGCTGCAGAAAGGAGAAGGCTGGTGCAGGCGTTTCCAGGCCCAGGGAGGCTTTGGATGGCTCCTAGGTCTTCCAAGAAGTGGCGCCATGCACCAAAGTGAAGAAGCTGGTGAGGAATGTGGTTCTGCTCCCTCTTAGCCACCTTTGCCCTAGGGTAAGAGTATTAGAGACCAGAACTGACATTTGATGGATACCTGCTGTGAGCAGTCACTTCCCATCCTCTCCTGCCATATACCCACTCTCATCCTCTCACCCCATACATTCGTATACACTCCTATGAAGTATATGAATCTAGACTCCTATTGTTTCAGTGGAGGAAATGAAATGTCAGAGAAGGACCCCACCCAAGTTGCAATTTATTGTAGCCACCCCTGCAGCCCCTATGGAATATAGAATAACAACAAAGACAAGGCGTTTATTGATTGCTTGCAAGGGATGTGCTAGCAAACGCTTAATAAGAAGGTCTATATGCATGTGTGCACACATACACACAGAGATATATGAGCTCTAATATTTGGCATTTGCCTGTATCTCTGATGTAAACACTCCTACGTAGGTTGTCAAGGTTTCTCAGTGCCCATCTCTGAACACCAAGTTTGAAAGATACTAGCAGTTGTGGCCTTCTGGATCTCATGTAGTCCATGAGTTATAGTAAATAGTAAATACTCCCATAAGTTTGCTTCTGTTAGGAATCTTGCCACAGACATGAAAAAAGTAACTCATACAACTTTGCACCTTTCCTTCATGTTTCCTGTTCTGGAACAAAGCTTATTGTCTTTCTAGGTTACAATGTTCCCGTTATTGAAATGAGAGTTAGGCATAGGTCAGGTGTTCAAAGTTCAAAAACAGGTGGGATGACTGAGGAAGGTAGGTGAACATATTGCTCTGTATGTTCTTTTTACACACAGAAACATACTAATTTTGGTATCTGGACTGTTTACTAGAAATATTTCTGAAACTCAGAAGATTAACAAAAATGCAAACTCCTATATATATACTGCCAAACCTAGGAGCAAACTTCATTGGTGCAGTGAATATAATTTTCCTTGATATGAAATCATATGCTACTATCAAGCATATGGCTTTTTAAGTTCTTATGTTTGTATATGCTCATGAAATCATGGCTATATCAGAAAGTGAAACTAGACCATCCATACCCCTGGGAGGTAATACTTCTATCACCAAGGCTACTAGTGTTTAGGTATCTATTGGATAGTGGTACTTATTTTTAACCTTCACGTAATTGGAATCACAGAGTACATGTTTTATGAGTTCTGTTCATGAGCATATTTTAGCTTCTATGAAGAACAAAAATCATTACCATCATCATTTGTATGATGTGTGTATGTGTCATGTGTCACCATGTGTTTGTCAAAGTCAGAAAACAACGTTATGAAGTCTGTTCTCTCCTTCCACCTTAATACAGGCTCTGCAGATTGAACTCAGGTTGTCAGTTTCTTACAGCAAACATTTTACCCTCTAACCACCTCACCAGCTCCCCCCACCCCCCACTAACACTGCTTTTAAAAAAAGCTATTTCCAGATTGGGCTTCATTCTAGCCAAACACAGCAATGTGGAAATACGGTGTCATGTGGCCGTGTGTGTGTGTGTGTGTGTGTGTGTGTGTGTGTGTGTGTGTGTGTGTGTATGTATGTGTGTGTGTAATAAATCTGGAGTTTTGTTAATGTTGAAATCTCTCTTTGCTTTTAATATTGGCAACTAATTTCAACTTTCTAAAGACTAGTATGCCAAAGCAAACATTTCTGTGGCTTGTGTAGCCTGGAAGCCGCTGGCTTGCAACCTTTGGATGAGATAGCCTTTTCTAGACTGGATATCTAGAATTATGGAAGATTCTCTTCATCCCTTCCGGAGGAGGGTCTCCAGTGTACACTATTCCTTGCTAGGGCTTCCAGGAATGTTACACAGTAGAAGATACATCTTCTATCCTCATAAGCATCTAATCACTGAGTCTTTAGCTTTTACAATTATTTCTAGAAAAAGAATGTAGGGAAGAAAGAGAGGAGGATACAAAAGAAAAGGGAGGAAAACTAAGGAAATAAAAATGACCATTGATGGATTAAGTATAATATTATATAGTTTATTATTGCAGTTTCATGTCATCTACATCACCTCGTCTCCATGATACTCTGTGAGACAAATGCTGTCATCATCTTACAGATGGATCTTAGAGTCAGAGACATTGCCACTGCCCAATTTATATAATCAATGTGGTTAGATTAGCTACACTAATTCCATTTTACAAGACATCCGATGTGCACAGTTTGAAAATAAAACTATGTAGCACATACAGACAAAGGATACAGAATTCATTTCCTGCAAGAATGAAAGAAGCATGGTGGGAAACCCTACCTGGATCTTAAGGTCAGAGGTGACTAGTAAGTCTGGCCTACCTGATATAAAGATGAAGTTATGAAGTGCCCTGAAGGGGAAGCCATACATGGAAAAACGCATCCATGATCTCTTGACTTCCCATTCACTCATTGACTCCTTCATATATTCATTCATGAGACCAATTGTTTATTCCTTCTGACATTTAATACATGTCAGTCATGTGTCTCCAACTGGCAAGTATCCTGTAAACATTAGGGATAAAGATGAATGCACAGTGATTGACAACTAAAGATGAAAACAGTAGCACTGGTTGGCAGGATTCACACATGGAAGGTCCTGTAAATCAAGGAAAGAGGATAAATTGTCTAAGAAGGCATCCTGGAGAACGATCTTGGCACTGAGATGAGAAAGACCAGGTCTTTCTCACATGTCTTTGGTTCTGCTTGGAGCCACTCCATTTTCTGGCCTTTATCTTTGGAACACTCTGTTCCTCCTACATTTGCCTCAGAGTCTTTCTACCTTTTCAAACCTTGATTCTTCCCATCAGTCAAAAGAAGAAGATACTTTATAGAAATAATTTTAGGGATTATGAGACTTTGAAGAATGGAGAGCTTGAAGCCTAGACCTTGAAGTCAGACAGAGGTAGGTATACTGGTTGATGGTCGTTGTCTATGTGTGTGATTTGAACAACTTAATTTCAAATTGCCTTAGCTTCCAGGCAATTTTTCATGGTATAAGGCAACAGTGAGATGCTGTAGGCACAGTGTTTGGAGTATTTTCACTTAGGAGAGGGTTTTGTGCTGGGGACAAGGATGATGATGGTGGTGGTGATGGTGATTGAGTTGTTAGTGATACCGCTAATATTTTGGTGGTGATTATGATGGTGGTGGTGGTAGTGATGTGGTGAGAATGAATATTGATTGCTAGTGATGATGGATAGATGCATTATTCACTTTTTGTCACTGTGAAAAAACACTGGAGTAAACTTACAGGACAAAATATTTATTTTTGCTCATGGCTTTGAAGACTTTAGTCCATGTTAAGCCTGACCACAGACCTTCTGGACCCTCTGTGTTATAAAGTAGCATATCATGGTGAGGATATCTGATGTCTCCAAGCTGATTACCCTATTGTAGACAAGAGGCAGAGAGAAACAAAAGAGAAAGTCGGGGGCAAGATATAGACCCTTCAAAGTCATGCCCTGGCCTTTACTTCCTCAAATCAGGACTTGCCTCCAAAGTTTCTACTACTTCCCAATAGTCCAGTAAATTATTAACTTATCCATGAATAGTCCATTGATTATGTAAGATCATTCATGACTCAATTATACTCTAAAACCCTATAAGTTGCCTAGCAAGAATTAAACCAAGGAGCTTTTGTTGGTAGCTCTTCCAGTCCTGTTGGTGTTGTGATGAAGGTAATTCTAGTCATGGAGAAAAGACAGTTCAATCTTCCTCCATCCCAAAGCAGAAAAGGAAAACCCTCTTATGAGACCTGGTATGGAAGACTCTGCCTGGGGCGGATGTCTCATGGTCATTAAGAAGAACAAGGCTGACATTTGAGGGGTCCCACAGCGTCTCCCAATTCCTGGTGCACACAGCCTACCTTCTCTTTCTGCTGTCACTGCCAGTCTCCTTTCTTGGTTCCTCAGCACACAGAGGGGCCCTGTGGCAAACAGGTGGGGTGTGCAGCCTGGGGTAGCAGTGGAAAGTCCAAAAGCTTGGAAAGATAAATAGTCTTACGTAGATAGTACAAAAGTCCCTTTTCTGAACTCACGTCAGATAAACCTCAACTGACAGAACCTTGTACAGCCACACCAACACACTCCTACAGAAGAACTAAATTAGCTCTGAAATAAGCAGGGGGCAGCATGGGTATTAAGTGCTTGGTGGATTTTCACATTGCCAGTTTCTTCTTGAACCTTTACTAAATACTCTCCACTATCCCTGGGTTTGGGCTGTGAACAAACTTTTGAATTCATAGAAGAGAGCCCTTTTAAAGTTCCTCAGAGAAGGAAAGCATGTGGGCTTGTCCACTTTGGCCCCAGGACTGGGAAGCAGAGGAAGGAATATATGTTCTTCTTCACATGGGCTCCATGCTGGACTTTGAAGCAGACAGAGATATCTGAAACCTGGAACCATTCCCCAGAAGCTTGAGTGCTTTGTCCAAGAAACTATTCTTAGTATTTATTCATCTCGATCTGTCATTATAACAAGCCTATGATGGTTTAACGATCCAATTCACAGGGAATTTCACAGGTGGAGTGACCAACATCTTAGCAAAATTTTATAAGCAGTCCAAGTGAAAATTGTAGCCGTACATGTTCTACTTCAAATTCCGTGGGTGCCCTGGGGCTGCAGCAGTAATTACAACACTCAGGAAGTTGAGGCATGAATATCTCAAATTTAAGTTAGCCTGGGCTACATAACAAGACTCTCTCTCAAAAAAGAGGGATAGATGGGGGCAAAAGCCAATGGCTTCACTTATCAATAGAGACATCATGGGGTTATAACTCAGTCTACACCAACTAGACACTGATTAATATCATTAATGTTCTTCTGACACTCAAGAAGGCAGGAAGGAAGGAAAGGAAGGGAAGAAATGATTGTCCATTGGATAAAATCATCTCAACTTTGAAATGGATCCATTCCTTCATTAAAAAAAAAATATTTATTGAGTAATCTCTGAGTGCCAGGCACTGTCCCAAGCAGAGAGATCTAATCCATGAACCTGAAGTGCTGTAGAATGGAGAAGAAAGTCACCCTACTTAGTCTTAGACTGGGGTCATGTGACTTTCCTCTGTCAGAAGCTTGCCAAGAAACTAATTACACTTTGGCTCCCAAATAAGTCTGCCCTTAGGGAGAGAATAAGATGGTCACATGCATTTCCCACTTTCTGGCCCATGTGACTATTCATTTCTTAATTAAATTAATCACTGGCACTCAGCCAGGAGAGCAATCCCTGCCCATACATATATTTCCATACTTCCATGGCTGGTCCCTGACATAACTACTTCTTGCTGGATACCCAAGCATATGCTAGTTCATTTTCGTAAAGAAAAAATTGTAGTGCAGCATGAAAAGAAAGGCCCCTATGGGAAATTTAAAAGGAGGCCTTTAGGATTCTGGTGATTTTTACATTCTCAATACTGTGTTACCTTCTTGGTTTTGTTTATCTTTCATTGTTCATCTATATTAAGAAATATTGTCACACTGGATTTTGTGTAATAAGTTGACTTTAATCATTTTTGGAACAATTGGTGTTTTCAAATCCTGGTTTCCTCACTTAAGAGCTATGGAATTTAGGGAGTTTATACTACTATGACAGAAGATTAATGCCTACCTCACAGCATGATAGCAGGAAATACATATGATAGTACATAAAGTAATTAGTGCCAAGAATGCACGTATTTTAGCTATTGTTATCATCATTGTAATTATTGGTACTAAAAGGATACACTCTGTGTGTGTGTGTGTGTGTGTGTGTGTGTGTGTGTGTGTGTGTGTGTGTGTTCTGCTGAGGTGATTGTGAAATTTGTGAAAAGTGAGATGTTTAGAGCATTCGCAAAGAGTCTTCAGAGGCCAAAATGGCAGAGGGTATTTCAGTGACAACGAACCAATTCTTTGGAAAACAAGAGTGTGTGCAACTTCAGGGAGTTATCAGCAGGCTTGTGTTACGTTGGCAGAGCATGACAGCAAGAAGGTCTTTGGCTTCCTGAAGCTCCATTCCAGAGACGCAGCCATTCCTCTATTGCTCCATTGCTCTCAGACTATAGTATGCATCAGCATCATTAGAGACACTTGCTCCTCAGATACGGTCACAGTCCCTGCCTTCAGAGATTCTGGTTTACTAAGTTCAAAACAGGGCTGCAGAATCTTCCATCTTACTGGGGTCCTACAATGATCTGATAACTGTGATCCTTAGCTTGTATTGGGAGAAGGAGCTTGTACTAGGGGAGCCTTATTCCATACTTTTTTTTACACTTTTCTACTATAGCTACAAAAGAAGGGCTTTTCTGCTCCTGTTTTCTTCCCCACAATTCTGTTTCTCCTCAACCCTTATTCCTGCCAGAGAAATAAAGAACACAACACTTACAATGAACACAAATATTATTTTAATCTTCTTCGGGCCCCTGTTATTGAAAGTACCTGGGAAACTTCTTCATGTCAATATCAGGGTGAGGTCAGGACTTGGATAGTCCAAAAGAGATGAAGTGGTTTAATGTGGTGCCAGCAAAAAGTTGGTTCCCTCCCCAGCCCAACCCCCCCTGATCCCTCTCTCTCTATCTCTCCACAGAGGATTGTCTGCACTGCTGGTCTCCAGTGGTATCCCCACCCTGCTCTGATCCACTGTGTCAAAGGCTGTGAGGTGAGTGACAAGAAGAAACATAGTACTTCTGGCATTGTTATACTTTTGATGGTTACAGTTTACTAGACCTACTAAGCATTGTATACACACATTAATACAGTTGTTACTAATGAAGCAGAAGTATCATTATATTCTATAGATGATAGAATCCATGTAGAGAGATAGAAAGATACTGAAAATATCAACATAGAAATATCAACTGAGAATTTAACAATGCTGAGAGTTAAGACATGCTTTTCTTTCTGCAAAGCTTATACCCAAATATTACTAGAACTCAGGGGGTAGGAGGATTGTCAGTCAAAGACATGATTGCTATGCAGTGAAGACATTGGATCAGATGTAGCACTCACATTAAACAAACCAAAAAAAAAAAAAAAAACCAGACATAATGTAATCTCAGCATTAGGGAGGTAGAGCCAGGAGCATCCTCGAAGCTCCATAGTCAGCCAGCCCAACCACACAGTACAGTGAGCTTGAGGTTTAGTAAGAGACTCTGGCTCAACAAATAAGATAGAGAAGAACTGAAAAGAACATGTGACATCAAGGTCAGGCTTTCATACACGTGCACACATATGCATGTGTCCCCCCCACATGCATATATATATATATATATATATATATATATATATATATATATATATATATATATATATATATACACATACAAGGCAACAAAATATATGCATATAAGGCAATATCAGTCATATTTATGTAACATAAACAACAAAGCAGCTATTTTAATAGCAATAGAACATTTAACCTTTGTAGTACTGCATGTCATTTTTCTTTTAATTTCCATTTCACTGATGACCATTACTTCTAGACCAATTCTGTCTACACCCCCCATTTGGTTATTTACAATTTCTTCAGTCCCAAAAATAATTGGGACACTTTTGACTGAACCACTGAATTTTTTTTTTTTTTTTTGGTTTTTCGAGACAGGGTTTCTCTGTGTAGCTCTGCGCCTTTCCTGGAACTCACTTGGTAGTCCAGGCTGGCCTCGAACTCACAGAGATCCGCCTGGCTCTGCCTCCCGAATGCTGGGATTAAAGGCGTGCACCACCACCGCCCGGCGAACCACTGAATTTAAATGGAAGATCCTTTCTGACCCTCGAAGTTGTTGACTTCCCAATTAAACCATTCCCTGAGCTCTCGGAATGATGGAGAGCTGGCTCTGTCTATCAGTAACAGTTTGGGGATGGAGTCAGCAAGTTCTTGGGATACAGCTGTTTTCTCAAGGAAAAGCTTCCTGGAAACCAGAGGCATTTCTTTGTATCAATCCTTGTCACTTCCTGACAGGATGCAACACAGTGTCCCTAACAAATACATAGGAAGAAATACGTGCCCCACTTTTCTCAGATGGAGCTGAAAAAGAGACTTACAACCACTCACAGATGGGTATTAAAGCTCAACAGTCCACCAAAGAGACTGCAGGTAGAGGACCTCATTTATGTCCTTAAAAAATTGTATGAGCTAGAAATGCTCTAAACAAAGAGACCGTCCAAAACCCAATCATTTTTAAAAGATCCAGGCATCTGTCTTCTGGCGCACTTTATGGAATTCCCAAAATTAGGATGCTCCTACCATGACCTATCTCTGCTGATTACAGTATGAACAGGACAATTAGGATCAGAGAAGGATGGACTGGTCTAAGTTTGTACAACGTGATAGCCAATGAGTCAAAACCTTAGCCCAGATTTTCTTACTAACAACCTGCTGCTTTTCTTCCTTCTATTGTATTGTCCATTCATATCCACTTCCTATAAATGTTATAAACAATAGCGTCCTGAATATATATATGTATATATATATATGTATATATATATATGTGTGTGTGTGTGTGTGTGTGTGTGTGTGTGTGTGTGTGTGTGTGTGTGTATATATATGCTGACCGTATATTTGATAATATATATATATATATCAGGTAGCATGGTAATCTTCAAGGACTCCCATTCCTTCAAGCTTCATCCAGAATGGCAAAATATGGCCATGGTCTTGCCACTGCTGCTTCTTTCCATCTCTTTGGATCAGTGCTGTGTTTTGGGAAAAGGCATCTTGAGTTACCTGAGCATTCATTATGCTGAGCTGGCAGTCTGGGCATTCAGTGTGACAGCAGAATTTGATCCCTTCTTTGACTCAGCATTGTAGCCAGGAGACCCTCTGTCATCATCAGGCACTGAACCCTGACAGTGATGCTTATCACCTTTACCCTTGCAGGTATCTCTCATTCTCTTTTGCTCTTCTTAGTTTAGTGCCCTTCTATGTCTTATTGAGGAATAAAAGGATGCTCAGAAGAGAAATAAATGCCTGGACCAGGAATGAGCTATCAAGCCCCAAGTGTCCAGAGGAAGTCAATATGCTTTCCAGAAAGGACCTCTAAGTCTCATTTCTCTGTTCAAAACTGTGTCCAAGTCAATTATACACTCATTGATTCCAAGCCTCTCTGACTGCATTATGTGGTCAGTCACTATTCAAAGTTTGGGTACAAAGAGTTTCATGCAAGTTAAAATAGCAGCTATGTCACCTGCCACAGAGTCACCTATGCTCATTAGTGCCTCATATATCCCCCCAGTACCTACCATTCCATTAATCATTTTACTAAATATTTGCTGACCGTATATTTGATAAATTTTTATGTAAGTTGCAAAACATTTTAATGGGAAATTTACGGTATAAAACCAGAAGATACACATCTGATCTGTTGAAAACTTACAGTGATAGCAAAGAAGACAAAGATGAAAATCTAAGATCATGTACCAAACTGTATCTAAAATGAATACAATAGGCTGTGGAAGCATAGAGCATTCAGGGGCCACTGGAAACATTATAAGGATGGATTGAGATGGTTTTTCAGTTATATCATAAAGGATCGATTTTGTTTGTCTGAATGCCTTATTGTTCAAAGTACTAACTGGATATGGGATAAATTTCTACACAGCAAGCTTTTCCATGCTATTTTCTATCCATAAGTTTTTTTCCTCCAATCTCACCTAATAACTCTTATTTATGATTATGATCTCTGTTTAAATGACTTAAATGTCATTTCCTCTAGGACCTTTTCATTGAGCAGTCCTAGAGAAGATCAAATGCTTTATTTACTCTAAGATCACCAAGTGACTATTTGATTAAAGACCCTTTCTTTCATAGATAAGGTCTAGATGGATAGGGTAGATGGATAGAAGGAGGAGTGGATGGATGGATCGTTGGATGGATGGATGGATGGATGGGTAGATGATTGATTCTGACTACAGGAAAAGGCACCCCAGGAATAAACAACATGGGAAAAAACAGCTACTCCTTTTCTAACCCAGTTTTATTCATGCTAAGGAAGGGACTAGGATTCACTTTCACTAATCTGCCCACATAATATATGAAAAAGAATTCAAATGGAAGGGACTTGTGCTTTGTTGTTGAATATAAATGTAACAATGTGTTGACCATGGAAGTTATGTGATAGAGTCTCTTCTAAACTTGCAACCCCACAAACAGAGTGTGTGTGTGTGTGTGTGTGTGTGTGTGTGTGTGTGTGTGTGTACTCACATATATGAGTTCAGCACTTACTCTTAGCTCCAATTTACTAAGCTCTGTCTTACACTGTAAATGGGAAACAATAAAACATAAATTTGGCATGAAGAGTTGCAGGCACAAAGGCTGTATGGATGAGAATTTGGAGCACATATGCAAAATTCAGTCATACAACACAGTTTAGACTTCTTGTGAACTTAGTTCTCCTCAGAGTCAGCCAAGATGGGAAGGAACAGTGGTCACAGGTGATTCACAGACAGTGTGCTGGGAAGAGACCGTTTCAGACAAAAGATGACACCTTTCTCACACCAGCACCTTTAGGCAGGTTTCCAGGTGATTGGGAGACATAGATGAATTGAATACTACTCATGTTTTTAGGAGCTTCAAGTCTCCCAATGTTATAGACACTTAAACAGACATGTAACATACCATGTTGAAAACTGGAGTGAGGATATATATATATAATGTATACATTTGCACATATACATATTTACATTTACATATATTTGCGTACATATATTTTCATATAAATATATTTGCTTACACATATATTTGCATATACATATATTGCTGTCATCAAAGAGACTCCTGGAATTTCCTCAGATCCTCAGGATTCAGATCAGCAACAGTTTTCCTCTGTCTTCCTTCACTTTTGGAATAACTCAAAGTTTACAGCTCTCACTGAAGAAAGTAAATTAATGTGAACTGGGACATCATAGAGTGGATAGGAAATTGGGGAAACACAGAAGCAAACCAGTTTAGATCATGACTCTTTTTTTCTCTGTTTTGTCATTATGATTTTGACGAGTCATTTTGTTGCCCTTGCTCTTCAGGTGTTGGCCTGTGAAGCAGGAATAATCATGCTGATCTTACATATTTAGAGAAAAAGTAAAGAGAGACCTGCAAAGGCTCTAGAGAGAGTAGATCTATATTCCTGTTACAAAGGCCACTATTAACACACACGATCTTGATCCTAATTCCTACTAATCTGTAATTTTTATGTCTGCAATTCTAATAGTTTACATCCAGATTCTTAATTTGTCTATACATAATAAATTAAAGAAATATAAAGCCAGAAATGCAAATTGTCTTATCATGTCTTAAAGTAAATTGTACCTTCTAATTCAGAAAGAAAGAAGGGGTATATTTTGTGTTTAATTTTCACACTACAGCAAACAAAATATGTTTCTCAGCATAACCATACTCCAGCAGGGAAAAATATGGCACATAAAAATGTTTATAAATGGTAAAAATAAAAACTTACCCAAGGGGGGATTGGGATTGGCAGCCAAATTGGCTGATGATGGAGGTTTGTATGAAGATGAGAGACTGCCAGACAATCACAGAGGCTCCAGTGAAGTTCTGAGAGCAGATCCCTCTCATGCCAGGATAATAACAAAGCCCCATTCCTTTACTTCTTCTCTTCTCTTTATAGCCATTCATGGGAGACAATTACTGTGATGCCATCAATAATCGAGCCTTCTGCAACTATGATGGTGGGGACTGCTGCACCTCCACGGTAAAGACCAAAAAGGTATGCCGACATTAGCCTTCTCATACCTGCCAGCTTGGTGGCTCTCCAGCCAGCTGACAAGTCTCTTCTACAGGCTAGATGCTTTGTTGCTGTGGCTGTGTGAGTGTTCTGCCTTCAGGATTGCCAGCACTCTGGTTTTTATTCCCTTAGCTAAGAGTGCAGCTACTGTTGTTTGCTGGGTGCTGAATGGCCTTTGAAGAGGTGGTCCTCAGAGAGCAATGTTGTGTGTAGAAGCAGATACATAAAAGAGTCATACGGACTTTTAAAACAGACTGGACTGAGGAGACTGGGCAGAAAAGGCCCAGCATAGTGAGTAGTAGCTATACCTCAACAGCAAGGAAAGGAACATGGAAGTGGTAAGGACAAGAGAATTCGAAGCAAGAAACTAGCTTGTCATTCCTAGAAAGATATATATTCCAGTGATCTATCCAAAGTAGAGGGGGAGAAAACACAAGACACTGCCAGCTAGAACATCTACAACCTTGGGACATTCTATTACGTATTTTGGTTTTGTACCTGAGGAATTGGAGGTATATGAAGGGCCTTGTCTATGTGTGGGGAGAGGGTTTAGGGTATCATTTTCTTCCTCTGCCATTACAATGCACCTCACTCCCCACCCCCCACACACACCACAGTGGTTCAAATATTTATAGTAAAACTAGAGTATTACAGTGAGATGTTCATCAGCCACCCTTAAGAATGGTCACCTCTGCTAGCTTCCTGAGAAGAGCTAAGACCAAAATTTGGGGCTCCAGTTGAGAGAGGGGTAAGAAATCTGGGTACCCTGACCTGAAAAGCATTCCTGTAGCAAATGTGCCCCTGGGAAATGCCTCCATGTTTGCAGCCCTGTATCATCTGAGACAATCTCAGAGATGATTTGCTCAAAGATTTCATCATAAAGAACTGATGTCTGAGTTACTACAACAGGAAAAGACACGAATCGAAGTGACGGCTGAGTGCTTGATGATGATCCCACACAGTCTTCCCGTTTCATTAATGGGACACTGAGGCCATAAGGAGGGATGATTTGTGCCAGATGGCAGAGGAAATGATCCAAGGTGCCTGGCTCCCAGCCTAAACCCTCTGATAGTGTAACACCCTTAAGAAGTTTGTTGCTTTAAGAAACATGCTTAGGCCTTACACTGCAGGGATGGATGAGCACATATTCAAATCAGAGAACTGTTAACAGCTAACAAATAAGAATGCTGGGGTTCTCTGGAATCCAGTCAGTCCCGAGTGGGCGGGCAGTATTTTCACAAAATGCCTGACCTTTTGCGGTTTGGGTTTTGTACTTTTACCAAAACACTGAAGATACATGTTTTCTGCTTAATATAAGAGAATAAAATCAATTTCCTGTTAACAAATTGTATACTGAAAATGAAAGAATATATATTTCACTCTTTAGGAAATCCAGGAAAAAAAGTAGCAAATGAATAGTACTTAATCTCTTCCAGCCTGAAGAAAATCATAGTTGCTTTTTATTTTGAATATTTTTTATTGTTTGCCTGTTTCATACATTTTCATAATGAATTCTAGTAATTGTTACTTCTCATTTCCATCTCACCTGTCCCTCCCCCATTGAAACCTCCCTTCTGAACAGGTTCAGATCCTACTTTCTTGCCTTCATTTTGTGTGTGACCCACTGATTTAATTAGGGTTTCTTGCCTGGACAAGGTTGGGAATTATTTACTGGACTAAGGGCAACTTGCCAGTGGTTATACCACTGAAAGAAATGACAGTCCCTTTTTGGTGTGTTTCATTTTATGTCTTTTGTAAGTATAAAGCTATGCACATCTCTGTGAACGAGTGCATTCCCAGTTTGGCATCTAACTTCTGTCAACTTGGCACAGCAAAATTTTTTCATATAAATGACCTCACATTTCAGGTGCAGTGTTTGCTCTGCTGTTATTAGTTGATTATGATGTGTTTGTGCTATGTAACCATTTACTTTGACTCTTGTCTTGAACTTTTGAGTTGTTTTTATTTGTGCACGTAAGTACTTTCAGAGCTCCAATTGTTCCTTTACAAAATCATTCCTCGGACTGAAATTACTAGGATTGAAGGTGTAAGCATTTTTGAAGTTTTTTTATATTTGCTTCCTAATGAGTATAACCTATCACAATTCACATTTTACCTCATCAGAGAAGTCTGTTGCTTTGAAAATGAATGGAAGGTGTAGTTTTTATTTTAAATAGAAGTTTCTGTAGAATTTCAGCCCTGTCTGACATCACAAGTTGCTGAGAGAATGCCTCTGATTAAAATAATTTTTATGCTACCATAATTTATAAGCTGAAATATTCTAAAACTCGGTCTACTTCTTAAATGTACTACCTTTTTTTTTTACAGAATATTTTGTGGGGAGATGAAGTAATGTGACTGAAGTGTAGATTCCAAGTTGTTTCCAAGTTGTTATAGTCATTTATTTCCTGTGTGTGTGTGTGTGTGTGTGTGTGTGTGTGTGTGTGTTAATATCAGTCATCATTTGGCTCTCTGTTCCTAAGTTGGGTACCTCTTCAATAACATCAGACTACCTTGCCCTAACATAAGCATTGTTTCTTCACTAAGGAGTTCAAAGTCAAATCTGTGATGATTTTGAATATGACCTCTTGATCTTTTCTTCTCTCGTCTCTTTTCTTGTCCACCTACAATACAAATGTAGTCTCGGATTTGTCCATTAACATTTGTGGTGCTCAGTCCTGCTGGATGAAGCACTACATTGCATGACCTTTCTTTTCCCAATGAGATGACTTTCCACTGAGCATTTTCTCTGGACGAGGCTGTGTGCCCACAGTAGGATCCAGATGGACACAGTTCCTACCCTTGTGAGACCTATCTGTTAGGGATCCTGGTCTGAAGCAGTGAGCTAGTGACAGTGCATTCAGTTGTCTTTGTGAAAAATGCAATGAATGAGAGATGCAGGACCTTGGGGAGAAAAGTTCCCTAAGGATGTATATTTAGCTCTAAGAAGGAGAGATGTCCCAGTGAATGTTAGTGGGTTGAGGACAGGATGGTGGTGCTATGTCCTAAAGGATGGATTAGAGAGGCTAAAGGACTCTCTTAGGGCATGTGTGACATTGTTGTTGTTATTTTGTGCCTCACCAGTGTTTAATACCTCTCAAATGAAGATTCTGGAATGAAGAGGGAAAGTATCTCACATTAATATCACATGTCCTTCTATTTAAATTGCCCAATGTATCTTCTAAATAAGTTCCAACTTCTTGAACCATCTTTGTATGCACCCAGCTGCTCTCTACAGCAGACTGGTTTGTAATGGATAATAGGCAAAGAAAACCAAGCATATCAAACATGTAGGTAAATCACCACATGTGCCAGACTACTCTCTTCTTTTTCTGAAATTAGAGAATTATATACAAAGTACCCTGTATTTCCTTCGTCTACACTGCCCTTCCCCTCCTCTGTATTTATTTTGTGGAGATAAATGACTGAGCCTGGATTCTTTTGTAATCTTCATGTCAGCTCTGACAGGTCAATACTGTTACCTGTATAGAATAGACAAAATAACTTGGGCTCCAAATAATTACGAGGCTTTCCCAAGTTCACTTGATCCACGATTGGCCAAGTTCAAATTCAAATCCAGTTTTATCTGACTCACAAGTCCTGTTCTTTCTTCTGCATGAGGCTGAGTCTCAGAAGGTGAAAGTACCTGTGAATAGGGCCTTGTTCTCAGTGCACCTGGGCATGGCCCTCCCAGTTTAGGCTGGAGACATTTTATGGTGAGCCCAGGCTGCCAGGGAACTTGGGTTTGGGAACCACCCTGTGGAAGATGAAGGCAGCTATCCCAGAAGCAGCCTTGCTCAGCTATCCCTAATATACCAGGATGCCCAGCTATCCTTAACATACCAGGATGCCCAGCTATCCCTAACATACCAGGATGTCCAGCTATCCCTAACATACCAGGATGCCCAGCTATCCCTAACATACCAGGATGCCCAACTATCCCTAACATACCAGGATGCCCAGCTTGGGGATTATTCTGTGTATACAGGGGAAAGTTCTGCTCCTGTCTCCGTCTTCCCCAGCAAGAACCCTCTTAGTGGAGAGGAAAGGCTTTCTTGAATTCATGTCCCCGACCTTACCTGTTATGTCTATTTCATCCCACCCATACCCTTGGCCACTATCAGGGGAACTTCCCTTTCTCTGAGCACCAAGTCTGGTACTCAGTAACTCATCCACAGCACAGGGGTGCTGCAAACACAAGAGTGTGCCTGCTGAGGACTTACTGTACATTGAATTGTAGCAAGAATCTCTGTGCATAGTGTTTCCAGCACTGTCTGCTGAGGAAGAAAACAGACTCACTGAGGTCAACTAAGCATACAAGGTGACGGAGATGTATGTGGGATTAGAATCCTCTACTTCTAGGCAAGCTGTGCTAGTGAGTACTTACCGACAGTCGATTCTGTCACACATAGTGTTAGCTGCTTGTCCATTTCATTTCATTTCACCAGTACAGTAGCTCTGTCTTAGATGTTGATGAAATTCAGATTTACAAAGTCTAAGGTCATCCAGCCAGTAGCTAGCAGGTCTGAGATACAAATCTATAGTATTTAATAAACATGTCACCATCCACTAACCTTTGTGACCATCTTTCAACGGGCTTGTGACTTGTCAAAGCATCGTGTGCTTCTCCTTATAGCAAGTGTCTGGCTTTATACATATCCATACACTCTAGAACCATGGTTAAGATAGACTTCTCTACAACTAGGTTTTCCAGTCACTTGGCTCCGTGTGATGTCTGGGCACCTCTTCCATTCTTCTCCCTTCGGTCTGTGAAGATACCATCTCTTCCCCCATATCCTCCTTGTAGAATGGCTTGGGTATATTCTTTTCATTCTTCCTCCTCTGTCTGTGTACACTCCAGCTCAGTAGGACTCCACTTCTTAAGATGTTAGCTTATTACTCTTGTTGGAGCCACAAGCCTCCAATACAGAGCAGCTTTCCATGATGGTTGCTCTCATGTTTTTGTTTTTGTTTTTTCATTT